GGGCTACATGATCACATCTGACTCATTTGGCTTCCGTTTTGAGGTTAGGATTGGAGTACCGGTTAATGGTTTCCGATTTTCGGGTTAGGCTTATACCCTTTAGGCTTAGGTTTTCGGGTTACGGTTAGGGTTTGAGCGTACGATTAGGTTTCAGTATTACGGTTAAGTTTTTCAATTACGGCCATGTCTAAGGGCTACGGTTACGTTTACGATTTCGGTTAGGGTTGTGGTTAAGGTTGCTGTTAGGGTTAACGTTTAAGGTTAAGATTAGGGTTAAGGTCGCCGTCCGCTCCCCCCAATCCTGGCTACCAATTGCGATCTTATTATTGTTATGAGAGGAACTATGCACAAGCCAGGCGTACGTACTCGACAGCAGAAATCGTTCGGAGATGTCGAGGTAACCGAGCCTTTGTGTTCTAACCAAGGCAAAGCAAACCAAAACGCAGCCGGCCACCCCTGAAGCACGCGTAGTATGCTGAAAACCGACATGACACAAAAAGACCTACCTACTCTTTTGGAAGAAATAAGTAAGTCACGACGCAGGGAATCGACGACTGAAAGCAATTTAAGCACATTGGGGTAACTGGGAAATCAGGTAAGATAAAAGGGGATTAGGGCTAGGGGAACAAAAGGATGCCTAATAATTTATCACTTAAGAAGTCATACGGAAACAACTCGGTGCGTTTGGTTATATCAACGTGTTAGATAACACCCAAAGGGACACTTCCAGTAGCTGTGACTTGATAAACAAAACAAGGCCTTTTAAAACAAATATAGTAGTTAATTAGCAGGGGGATGCTCATCTACCGTTTTACGGAACTCACTCGTCCCGTCGTGCCTTAGGGCCCTCTCTCGAGCCCAACCAGCAGCCGCACAGCGACGCATGTCGACGGCTAATAAGCCAGAAATGACCATTCTAGTCTGCCCCTTCCTTGTCGGTAATGCTATAGTAGTTAGTTATACACACTAAACCCAGTGGGGTTACACAACTCACCCCTGCCCTTTTTCAAGCCCCAGCACCGGAGATGTTTGGACACTCCTCACAATCTTCTGAGATCCCCCACTGCCATAACGGACTACACCTTCGTTCTGTGTGAACTCAACCCCCCTGCTGAATCGGGTTTGTCGTCGTGTATGTGGTCCACCTCTGGTCGTCTTGACATTGTCTTGCCATCGGAGCAAGGTGGGCAAGGCAACAGAGAGAGAGAGAGAGGGAGAGAGAGAGAGAGAGAGAGAGAGAGAGAGAGAGAGAGAGAGCGGTAGACGCTGCGCAGGCCTGCCTGGCTATGAACTAATCCACACACGTCACTGGTGCTGCATTCACGCTGTGGACGTCATCGCTTGTGGCCGTCAAACTCCTGTGTCCTGTTAGCTGATGGAGCAGAAGTTACCTTCTTCCCACACACACACACAAACCGTAGCGTTACTGCTCAAGCGATCGCCTGCGATGCTCTGAGAGTGGTCAGAAGGGTATAACCAAAGACGGCCTCTCCTCCACAGTCGCCATAGTCGTCTCATCACTGTTTTTTTTGTTTGAAAAATTTTTACAATGGCGGATCTGTCGGGCCATACTCCTCCTAAGCACGGTTGAGCGCCCAGCAGGGCTCCACGTAGGGCGCACCGTCGGCTGTCCTGCATTACCTGTGTAATCCAACCCGCCGCCTAATCCCTGGTAGTCCTAGTAAGCGACTATTTTGGCTATTTCACTGGATGGGTCCCCGAGGTGTTATAGCGCTAAGGCTTAAGGGTGCTAGGCGCATTCACAAGCAATTGCCCACGTGAAGTCAGCCTCCTTGCCGGCCAGGGGACCAGTGTGTCTGGGGCGTGCAAGAGACGTCTGGTTAGCCACTGCACCTATTCTCACCTCCAGGAGCACAAGGAATGGGGTCTACTCTTTGCAAGCCCTCCTCACTGTTACTCAGTTCCTTATCTCCCTCGGAGTAGTAATGATTCTCGTCGATTTCGATGGACAACAGACATGAGTGCTCCTCAGTCTGTCCTTGTCCGAACATCCGACCATGTTACACACAGGGCTTCATTTGGAATGGAGAAATAGGTGTAATCCGACACAAACTCTACTTCTTCACCACCACCTCAACTCTTTGAATCGCAACTATGGCATGACACAGCTTACGAAGATATTCAGTTTAGTTTTGAAAAAATGCCTGGTCCAGACTGGGTCACGGTTACATTGAAATCCCAGCAGTGTGATTTTCCGATCTAATTCTTCGGCACTGATACCTAGGCACCAAATATTGCGCTCGGCTAGGCTTCTGATTCCGTCTCTTGCCTGACTGGTAGGTCTCTTTTGGCGTTGTTGTTACCTCCTGTTCTCCGTTACTTTCGCGATTTTTTACGCGGTCCTGTGCGCGAATTGTATCGCCTTGTTCTAACTGTATCACTTGCCCTACCCTGCCACCACGCACCTAACCGTCTTCTTTTGGCCTGTCCCCCTCCCCCTCGCCATCCCAGCAGTGGTGCAGTCACCGTGAAAACTACGGAGAACTCCCTCGAGAAGCGCACCATAATTGAGGGTGGACATGTCATGACGACAGTGCACGAGACGGAACGCGTCGACGGGGAGATCGTCAAGGATGATATTGTTCAGGTGAAATCCACCAATGAGGCCGAACCCTCGGCGATTTCTGGTGCGTTTCCTAGCCGCATGTTCCCTGTAAAACGTATCTGATTTCTAAAGCTGTTGTCTGATATGTAAGTGTGCAAAGCGGCGACCATCCTTTGCCCACGGCTCCACATCTCGTCTAACGCGCCGTAGATGTTCAAAGTCAGTTGACGTGTAACCACTTAGCCGTTGGAACAGATAGGCGTTAATTGAACCCCACCCCAGGTCTACCCTTCTCATTTTATCCCCAAGCATTTAGTGCCTGGAGCTGTACAGGACTCCTTCAAGTGTTTTGTCCAGCAAAATCCGCGGTCGTTCCCTTACGGGACGACTGCTGACTCTGGAGCTATACAGGACTCCTTCAAGTGTTTTGTCCAGCAAAATCCGCGGTCGTTCCCTTACGGTACGACTTCTGATTCTGTGTCGGCGAAAAAATGGGTAATAATTCGTTGTTTATCCTCTTTTAGGACAAGCATAGACCGCGCCCCACAGTCTTCGTCCCCCGCGACTATTTATAAACCGGAAAAAATGACATTTCATACTGTCCGCTTTTGTTCAAGCTTTCTGTTCAGATGCACGTCCGCGCTTCTCCCTCTCGACAGTCAACAGAACTAACTGTCTAGCGATTTTTTCATCGATAGTGTCCTGCCTTCTCTCCCTCAGACGACATGAATCGAGTTTTATGCCTTTCGTATATTGTACCTTGTCCTCTGATCATCAATCATATTTATGTATTTAAACGTATGTGCGGAGGAACTAACCGGATACATGGGGATCTCCTCTTCGTCCTCCTTTTTTGCGTGCGCTACATTTTATTTTTTTCCATGCCGGTTTTACGCAGACATGGAGGATGGGCTTTTCTGTGCTTCCTATTCGTGTAGGATGCCTTTCGACCGTCTTTTTTCGTCCTGACAACATTTGTTCTCACCACCTCGTTTTCCTTGACTCGTTCTGGCAGAGATGACTAACGTAAGACACCTTGCTTTTCCTGTGTTTGTACTCCCTGCCTATCTCGCAGTGACGAAATACCCCTTCCCCCATCCCCGTTTCCGCCCTATCTTGGCGGTACCTGACGTCATTATTGTCTTCTGGTCTGTTGTACGCTTTGCTGCAATGTGTTCGCCCATTGATTGGTTTTTCTCCCCCTCCTCCCCCCCCCCTCACTTTTCTCCCATACGCTAACTGCCGTCACGCACGCTTTGTACTCCCGGCACTGATGATGTTGCTGTTCTTTCCACATGTTGATTATTTTTGGTTCTAACATTAAATCTTACCCTGCGTGCCTGTGAAGTTTGTGTTTGAAAGCACGGGGCTCGGTCCAGCACAGTGGGGAGCAGATAAACCCGTCTCGCAGTGGTTTTGAAGTAAGCGGTTTGGATAGGCTCGATTCCACTGATTTGTCACATCGCTTGGTCAGCCGCGCTGTGATAGTTTGACCGTCCCATCCGATTATATCCACCGTGTGCTCCACTCCCGGGTGGGAACAGTGATGGTGACTTGGGCATGAACTAGTTCATAGTGATAGTAGACTTTTGAACCACCTACCTCGCTCTCTCTCTTCCTCCTACCCAAGACCGATGCCAGGACAGTCAAGAAAACCGGAGACGAGGAGGGCGCAGGGCCGAATCAGCACCTTGGTGCGCCACTCCACACCCCCTGGTTCACAGCAAACACTTGACCAGGATTTTGACCAATAACAAGAACAGAAAGGACGTGGATGATTGGGTGGCCATGCTCACGGCTTGTATACCCAGCGGGAGCGTGAGCACATCTACCGCCAGAGAACCAGGCACCAGAGAACTGCCAGCACACACCAGGCCGCGAGGGTCATGGCATAACAGATGTTCACAAGCCCAGAACAATGACACACAGTCCTACATCTGCCTGGGATATCACCCTTCAAAGGCGACTGAAGGGCACTAACCATTATGTGCGCCCATTCCCTGCGTGCGCGAGAGCGCTACAGGTCACTTCAGCTTTAGGAAGGGTCCGTGACAGCCTTGCTCTCCGCCCACCACCCCATACAAACACTGGGCAAACTGCGGGTTGAGGCGTCAGTCGGCAGCCTTCCAAGTCATGGCGTTAGGCGCACCGTGGCAGTTTCAGACTCGGGTCACGCAGGCAGCAGAGGAACCGCATGGAGACGGAGCCGAGAAGCACACTTCTTACTTGCGTGGGATTGTCGTGTGATGCCGTTTTTTTATTGGGGTATGCGCGATGTAGCCATCGGTTGTTGGTGGGGAATGTGTGCTGTAGCTGGCTGTTGTCTACTGCAGGTTTTCTTGAATGTGACCTGGCAAGTCCGTGCGGTGAGTGAATGTACGGGGACAGTGAGGGCAGTTTAGTCGGGTGCGGTTAGTGTAGGTTGGTGCTCCAGTCACTGGTTCGCCAGCATGTGATGGATTCGCAGGTGGCCGGCCAGGCCGATGTGTGAGATCAATGTGCGATCCCAACGGGGATAGGCATGGACCAGGTCCACATCGCTGGAGGTGGGAGTGTTGGTGGGGATGGGTGGGTGATGGGACACCAGACGTCCTATCGAGGGGGAAGTGGTGGTGGTGGCGGTGTTGGCCTCTGCGGTCGATGTAGTTGGGACAGGGCGGATGGTGGCGGTTAGCGCGGGGTTTGCGGCAGGGGAGAGACGCTGTCGGGTTGATGGCACATTGGGTCCGAGGGTGTCCGACGAGACCGATTCGTGCATGCGATGCGCGTTGGCGGCGCGGGCATGTTGGGAGCGGCAGATGGGTGACATTGCGGAGGTGAGGCACTTGTGATGAGCGAGCCTTCCGTTTGGCTTTGGAGGCGGCAATCTGATTTTCTTCGGTGGCAGCGCCAGTCTTCACTCCTCTCCAGGCCGGTCTTTTTTAGACAAGGTCCTCCCAGGTCTCTGGATTGATATGCAGTCGCTTAAGAGACTTCTTCATTGTGCTCTCGTAGCGTCGTTTTGGGCTTCCCAGTCGGCGAGAACCGGTGGCTACATCACCATCGAAGAGTTCTTTCGGTAGACATACATCTTTCATCCTCACAAGATGGTCGTCCCGACGTAGCTGAAGCTGTCTTAGCATGGCCTGGATGCTGAGGATTCCGGTCTGTTCTAGAACTCCCGTGTGGGGGATGGTTGCGTTCTTTAAATCTTGAGGAAGCTGTCCGCGGCGTCCCATCTCTTGAAATGGCGTCGCCGGTTGGTCCATCAATTGGTGGTAGCCGTGCCTGTAGATTTCATCTGGGATCGCATCGGAGTCGGGTGCTTTCTCGTTGAAGAGTTGTTGCACGGCGCGAAGAAGTTCTTTGATTCGTTGCGGTCGGTTTATGCCTGGATCTCCTCGGTCTTAGTACCCCCCCCCCTCAGGAGTTGTGCATTTCTCGCAGGCGTTGCTGCGTAAGACGGCGACATTGGTGAAAGGCCACTTTGTTCGCGTCAGTTGTACCGTCGAGATAAGCTCTGTGCAGCCTGTTCTTCTTGGCGAACAGGTTACTATTGGCTGCGTCGTTGCCACCGAACCAGTTCCTGTGCTGGCGACGCGCGCAGCCGGGGACAGCCATGGCCTGTGCCAACACGGCCATTGAAGTCACCAAAGACAACTGATGTATCCGCTTTCGACACAGACGTCATCAGGGTGTGAAGGTCTTCATAGAACTTGAAATTCGCCTCAACTGAGCCGGTCATTACTGGGGCGTGCTCGTTGATGATGTGGCGAATTTGCCTCCCCCGAGTGACAAGCGAAGGCTCATCAATCGATCACTGATGTCCTGCGGCAGACAGGGCAATCGTCTGACGATATCGTTTTGAATGGTTAAGACGACGCCCGCGTCTCGTCGCTCGGCTCTGGCGTGGTCGCTCCAGAAGAAGGTATAGTCGGCACCCATCTTCTCCAGTTGACCGGATCTCGTCAAGAACAACGATGTCCACCTTTTAGCGCACAAGTTCCCTAGCAACTAGCGCCGTCCTTCGTTCCGGTCGTTTACTCCTCCGATTGTCTAAAAGGGAACAAAACATTTCAGGCTGCCAGAGTGAGCGGGCTCACCCAACTAGCCTGGAACGTGGGGCGGCGGGAAGGAGGAGGAAGAGAGAGGGAGAGAGTATTTTGTCTTGTGTTTTGGTTTCGACTACATTTTAAGCAGTCTGCGAACCACGGTCTGCGCGCAGATGTCGTGAACCCAACTTTGTTCGGGACATTTTTATAGCTCCGTCCCCATCGCGAGAGAAAGCAGCGCTCTCCTGAATGACCGCAGTTCTCCATTATGGGTCACGTATTAGTTTAGTGGGAGAACGATCCTGGACCACCTACATGATTGCATGTCGCACTCGCCGTAGGACTTTCGACCGTGGAGGAAGATAGTAAAGCAGAGAGAAGACAAAGTGAAGGGCGGATGAGAAAGGCAGAGAAAAGGCACACAGGCGAAGAGTGGCGCAGGTCTTTCAGTCCCTGGGTCGGTACTTTGTTGAGTGCCGGAACGCAAGTGCGAGGAGGCAAAGGCAATTAAGCAGTATTCAGCTTACCTGGGGGGGGGGGGCACTTGTCTTGCTGGGGTGCAGACGGAGCCCCATCTTGCAGATGGCGATATGGCGGTGGGAGGGGGGCATAAGTGCCGTGTGTGGAGATACACACACAGATACCCTCACCTGGTTTAGCCCGCCGGTCGAGGCGGTTACCGGGGTATGACCGCTACGCAGAACATAGTTTCGGGGAGCCACATGCGAGAGTTTGGTGCCAGTTATTGGACGCTAGGCATAGTCAACATCTGCAAGCAAGTGAGAGATCTAATATGACCTTCATGTGGACACACAACTGGACATACCTACAACCCAGTTTGCAGTGTATCATTGCCGACAAAGACAATGGCGACTAGAATGCCCATTTCTGACCTATTAGCCGTCATCAGCCAGCTATGCCCAACCCCGAGGTGTCCAACCCCTAGGGCTCGATCCCGCGACCTGGTGGTTAGAAGTACAACGTCCTAACCGCTGAGCCACAGGTTGCGATCGGGTTTATTCAATCACAGAGGGACGCTTTGGGTAAAGTCACCGAGAAGCATTCTGTTGAAGATACTGTCCCACCGTCTGGACCATCGACTTACTCCCCCAACCTTCCCTACCTTTTACCAAATTGCTCGTTCGAGTTAGAGGAAGCAGAGAAAGTGATACGAAGTACGTTTACGTGCACGTGGGGGCCGCTCCTGGTCGCAGCTTGTCAGAGTCTTCCGGCTGGTTTGAGTGAACAGGGAGCAAATCAGCCTAATTTCCGCGATCCCGCGTCAGAGCTGTCTAGTTGTCGCCGTTACTGGGAGTCGGAGGCATGCTATTGCTCCAATCTGCCGCCACGCGCAAAGAATTGTGGCTTGGACGGTTGCCAGCTGACTCCGCCCTTCTCAGGGCTGAAAGTGGCGCTTCGCGCTTGTCCAATCAGTCTTCGATATTGAGCTTCGGCGGCTTGCTGTTGCTCTGGATCGTGCCCAGTGGAAGAAGAAGGAGTGTTTGCTGGTGCACGGTTACCCAGTATCTAACCTCTTGAAGAGCAATCTTTACCTCCTTTTTCAGCTGCCGGCAGTTCCGGGGAACTGCTCACGTCAGGCTCCTAGCTAGCGCACTTCGGGATCACACAAATTCTCAGTGTCGGGCCCGAACTGGCCCTCAACGTCCGCTCCACGCCTGCTTTGAACTAAACTACTGTCAGGTGACCGCGTGTGACAAATCGGTGTGACCCGATTCATTATCCGTATAACTGTCATGCAGCTCTTGGGCTGGACTGTCACCGTCTAGGTCCGTGAAGTTGAATGCGTCGGAGTCAAGCTCACAGGTTAACAACTATAGTGGTAGAGGGGCGGTCACCGATCGTTCTTACGGAACACACTCATTCCGTTGTGCCTTACGGGCTCTGTCTCTCTCGAGCCCAATTAGCAGTCGCACAGCGGCGCATGATATAGGCAAAATGGTTTTGTCGACAAAGACAAGAGAGACTGGGATGGCCATTTCTGGCTTATCAGCCGTCGTCAGTTCGAGCCTCGGGTGTTCCACGCTTCAAGGTTAGGTAGGACTGGGTGACGACGGCTAATAAGCCAGAAATGGCCATTCCATTCTCCCTTATCTTTGTCGGTAATACCATTCTGTTAACAACTATCTCGTCTCTATGAAGCTTCTATTTCGCAGTGGAGAGATTTGTCTCTGCAGCCAAAAGAAATGATGGGAAGGAGTTCTACATAGATCTTGCCCATGATGAAGCCGGAACAAGATCTCCTGGCTGGCAACGCCAACAATCAGCATCTCAGTCGCTATAAACTAAGACTGGCGCACTCGAGTACCCCAGTGAAGGCTGCTGGACTGACCTTTCCACCTTCTTGAAAGACCATGTCCATTATATGCCCCAGTTTATAGTGAGGAATCTGCTACACCCTCTCCTTCTTCACCCACTAACTCCGATGACGCAGGCAGCCCGTCTACGCGTGCCACACACGACCTGGTCGCCGCAAATTTACCACGTTTTGGAGAAGGAGACACGATCGCCGGAACAAGAGCTTTATTAGCCTGACGTTTCGGATTCCTACTCGAATCCATCATCAGAGACAAAAAAGCAGAAACGGGTAGTTGTCGCACAAGAGGCTGCGGTATTTATAGGATGCAGTAGCCATGCTACCGCATACCTATGAACATTCACGGCTCCTCACTCCCTTCATCCGGGATCGTCGCACTTGGTGTGATCATTGCTTGATGGCCGACATTCGAGTCGATAATTGCTGCAATTCCATCACGTGCGTTGGATGTTGGCGTGATGATTGCTCGACCATCTGACGCACCGACCCCGGTGTTGGGAAAAATGTTCACCTCTGCGCTCCCCGCACGGCTTGTTACTCCGCCTAGGCGAAGTTTCAGCACAGAGTATGGAATGGGAAGATCGTTGCACTTGTTGATGGACTGGGGGCCAGTAAACCATGATTCCAGTAGCTCCCGGCTAACGTGGTTGTCACCTCTTGTGAGAATTTCGGTCTCATCGAATTTGAATGTGTGGCCGGATCTCGTCGAATGAGCCGCAACTTGAGAGCTGGCGTCATTTCTGCGCACCGCTGTCGCGTGTTCGGCCATTCTCGTTCGGAGCTGGCTTCCGGTTTCTCCGATGTATTTGCCTTGTCCGCAACTGCACCAGATCCGATAAACGACTCCAGACGTTTCTAGCCGTGGCAGTGGGTCTTTCGGTTTCATGATCAGACGCCTGATGATTGCCTCCGGTCTGTGTGCCACTCCAACCCCAAGTGGTGCGAGAAGGCGGCCGACAGCTTCCGAAACGTTCTTGACATTCGGAAGTGCCCGCCAAGATTTGGTGTCCGTGCAGGTAGGCCTTTCGTCCCTTTTGCGTATGCACCGGTCGACGAAGTTGCGCGGGTAGCCATTGGCTTTGAAGACCCGTCGGAGGTATTGTAGTTCAGCAATTTTGTCTTCCGGCTCACTGCAGTGCGTTTCGACACGCCGATAGAGCGTCTTTACACAACTGCGTTTGTGGCTGATTGGGTGGTTACTGTTGAAGTTCAGTACTTGCATCGTATTTGTCGCTTTCCTGAACACTTTGGTCTTTAGTCCACCACAATCCTTGCGGCATACGAGGACATCCAGGAAGGCCAGCTGGTTGTTCACTTCCTCCTCCATCGTAAATTGAATGTCCGGGAAGATGGCGTTGAAAAATGAAACGGAGGCGGCTCAGATTTCACGTTCGTGAGGGTACCATATGACAGTCTGACCGTCGTTGCCGACGATGTCCATCGTGTGCTACACAACACGATGAGAGCAGGGATGGTGACTTGCGCGTGAATTAGTTTGTAGCAGCAGTGAGCCTGCACAGTATCCACCAGGCTCCCTCTTCCTCCCTCACCTGTGTCTGGTGTCGTGACTGATTAAAGGAGACTGGAGGCGGAAGCGGGGCGAAAACCCCCAGCTAGGCGCACCACCACATCCCCTGGTACACAAGCAAACACTTGACCAGGATTTTCAACGGCAACAAAAATTAGGGATCCCAGCTGGCGCCACGTGAACCTCCAACTAGGCCTGCCACCACACCCTGAATGTTGGCATGTGTTACGGGTACGTATTCCCCATAAGGCCTGCCAGAATCCGATGTAGCCTCCGAGTTGGTCCAGTGCATCTACCTCATGGCCCTTTTTAGGAGCAAAATAAGAGTGCAATAATAACCCTGTAAAGGAGCCATTGAGCCCGTCTTCCAGTCCTCGAACCAGTCATTCCACTAGTCGCCACAAGGATCGAGTTACAGCATCAGTTGGCGGCCTTTTAGTCCACGATTTTCGGCGTATCGTGATAGTTTCAAAACGCGTCAGATTTAGCCTAGTGAGGAATGCGCCGAAACGTCAGATTCGACCCCTCTCTCTCCGTTCTCCTGTCCGCTGTCCTACTCTGTCAGTCATCTGGTGCGGAGACAGTTATTGGACTAAGTGCTTGTCCAGGGGCGTGACGGTTGTGACAGGCTGAACATGCTGTCAATTGCTGAGCCGGCTGTTGCCTGCCCCTTCCGCTAAGTCGGCTGCACTACACTTGCCTGAACGCGGCTGAATGCGGACTAAAG